TTTTTTTTTTTTTGTGTATTTATCTTGCTAGTCGCCAGTTAATACATACTTTGTCACTTATCAAAGACGTCATTCAACAAATGATTTAATTTGTTGTACAATTCATACTTTCTGTATTTCCATTTTTTCTGCCTGTCAAACATGATGATAGCATAATAAAACTTCACTCAGCATATTTTATTGTGCATTTGAATTTTGAGTTGCACAACAAATAAAACTATAAAATTGCCAAAAAGACATTTTAGTTATTATTATTATTACATTCATAAGGATGTATTAAATGTATCAAAGAGTAAAGACATTTATAATTTACAATAGATTTCTATTATATTCAAATAAATGTTCAAAATTCTTTTGAATCCTGAAAAAAAGAAAAAAATCACGGTTTCCACAAAAATATTAAGCAGCACAACCATTTTTAACTTTGATAATAATTAGAAATGTTTCTTGAGCAGCAAATCAGCATATTAGAATGATTTCTGACGGATCATGTGACACTGAAGACTGGAGTAATGGCTCCTGGAATAAAAGTACATGTTATAATATATTAAAATAGAAAACATCTATTTTGAATTGTAATAATATTTCACAGTATTACTGTTTTTGAAGGATTTATGATCAAAAAAATAAAAAAATAAAAATAAAATGCAGCTTTGGTGAGCAATGCACCCCAAAAAAATACAGCCTTGGTACTTTAATTGTATTTATATTTTCCATATAACCATTTAAATTGTTCAAATAAATATGTAAATAAATACAATTTCCAACAAAACATTTCAGTGAATATAAAATATATATATAATGATTTATAAAATGTTATATATTTATATTTTTTTGTTTTATTTTAATGCTTTATTTGTCCAAAATTGTCCTAAAAGTGTTCAACGAGTACAACTATTTCATGTGTGCAGCGAATAAAACTGTCAACATAGAGTTGAGCATAAAAGTTTCTTAACAAAGAAACTATGAATCTTAATATTCTCATGAATCATGTATGGGTTGTTAATAGATGGGGTTAGAACTTTTCAGTTTGTGAGTTTGGATAAAACTGGTAAATCTGGTGAATGACTATTCTTTTTGGGTATGCCTTAAAATCAAGCCACATTCTAATTAGTTGTTCTTGGTATTGTCTCTCGATCAGTTCCGGCAGTGAGCGTGAAGGTCGTGGCCAAGCAGCAGGAGCTGCGCAGGGGTCAGACGCTGGACCTGGACTGCCTGGCCGGAAGCAGCAATCCCACTGCAAATATCAGCTGGAGTTTGGGCCCCGTCATGTACTGAAACACTCACTTACAAATCATTACATACATGCACAAATACACACACACACACAACCACAGCTAAATACAGTATTACTAAGTCCAAGACTCCCAAGGTGATTTTGCTGTCCATCTGATTAATTCACATAAATAGACTGCAGAGTATTGCCCCTTGGTCCACAAAACACAGGCAATACATGTACATTTCAGGTGAATTTTGCTCCAAAATTACTCAAGTCATTTTTAATGCTGAGAAGTGTGCAGTAATTGATGTCTTCTGATGTCGATCTGTACAAAAAGAGCAGAAGTTGTGCAGGAGGGCTCAATAAAAGCTCTTTGTAGAAGCAGGAAAGTGTAAAATGTTTGCATAGGCTGATGGGCAGTTTGACAATCCATCCGAGACCTTTTTTTAATGTCTGTATTAGGTTTCGACTGGCAGCCGGTGATCACTAAGTCATTACCTTGTTAGAGTCAGTCTCTGGCGCTGTCAGTGTGTGGCCAGTTGAAAGAAAAAAACTTTACGGTGATTGTGAACAGATCAGTTGTAGTTTTTTTACCAGCTAAGCCAAATGATATGGCTCAGCTTTTATTTCTAAAGAAATTCTGCTATAAAACTACAGTGTTTGTGAGCGGAGGACTGGTCTGTTTCGAGTTTTATAGGTTTTCAGTTTTGTCGGATGGTCCCTGCGGGGCCCTAACGCATGTCGAGCAAACAAAAAGATTTCACAGCAGGTGAACGCTATTACTGTGAAGGCCTTTATCGAATATTCATAGTCTATTTTTGCGATATTACTCCAAGGGGAAGTTTTTTAAATTCGTCTTCTTTATATAAAATGTCCATGTGAAATAACATTGTGAATTGTCATGACTTTTATGAAGCTTGATTTTTTTTCTCTCTCTCTCAGGCTGAAGGGAGTTGACCAGGCTCCTAAAAAGGCTGAATTTGGTGGAATGTCCCGAACCAGTAAGCTTGCCCTCACTCTTGAGTCCCATCACTGGAAGAAAAGGATCACCTGTCAGGCCTTCAGTAACGTGCTGTCCGAGGGTGTCAACAGCTTCTACACTCTCAATGTGCTCTGTGAGTTTTCTGAACACGTTTGAATGGGATTCATTTGATAAATAATATAGTCAGCTGACAGTCCTGTAAAAACACAATGTCAAAATATAGTCAACAAAAACAATTGTTCATGAATAATTGCACGCCAGTAGATAGTCAATTAAAGATTTGCTAGAGCTGAGTAAATCTTTGAATAGACATTGCAAAAAGTGGCCTTAGACGTCAATACTAAACGTTTTTTGCTTTATTTCCATGTTACTGTATATAAGTCATTTTACAAATGGTTTTGTCACCCTCTGCACAATAAATAAACGTATTTATTTTTTGTTTATTTATAAACTATGGGATTATTCATCTATTTATTTATTCATTCATAATCCTGTATAATCCTGTTTAATAAAATGTATTTATTTATTTGTTTGTAATAAATAAATAAATAATGGGTTAATTTACTTATTTATTATCCCATATATAACATAAAATAAATAATTCAAGCAATAAATAAAGCATTTATTTATTTAATTGCCAAATAAATAAATACATTAATTATTTATTTATTTATTAATAATGGGATAATTCATTAATAATTAATTTATTAATAAATAAATAAAATAAAATAAATTATGGGATAAATGTATTATTTATTATCCCTTATGTCCAATAAATGGGTTAATACAATGAAGTATCCCATTATTCATTCATTCATTCATTCATTCATAAATAAATAAAATTATTTATTTATTTATTTTATGCTATATTTGAGATAATGATTAAGTAAACCATCCCATCCCATCCCACAAATTAATAATTAACAGGATAATAAATAAACAAAAGTATTTATTTATTTATAATTAATAAACAAACAAACAAACAAACAAATAGTACTTTTAATAATTTATTATCTAATTAATTACTTGAATTTGTTCATTAATTTAATTAGTTAACTAATTTAATTTGTGTTCTTTTGTGTTCTTATTTCATACATTTTTATAATTGATAATTGATAATTGTAATTGATAGCCTTAGTTTTAACATGGGTTTGGTTTGTGTAGCTTTCTGTTATTTTGCTCTGGCAAGTATTCTGATGTATGTTTGAATGAGCCTATACCTGCTAATATGTATGGCGAGTATGTGGTATGATGTGTGTGTATGTGTGTCTTTGTGTCTGCAAAATGATTATGGTTTGACTTTGATCTTGTTTTGTCTGATCCAGCCAGCCACCTCTTCAAAGCCTAACACACTTTGTGAGCATGACGGAATGTCACTGTGTATCTCTGTGTGTGTGTATGAGTGTGTGTGTGTGTGTGTGTGTGTGTGTGTGTGTGTGTGTGTGTGTCTCTTTGTCTGTTTCAGAACCTCCACAGTCTGTGATTTAAATATCTGTCTGTGTAAGAACAGACCATAAATTATCACCTTGCCTGCTTTATTGTCTTATATTAAGATAATATTTAATCTTTCACTTTCTTAGTGTTTGTGAATATATTTGAACTTGTGTGTGTGTGTGTGTGTGTGTGTGTGTGTGTGTGTGTGCTTGTAGATGTAAGCAAATCGTTTGTGTTAAAATCTGCATTTGAATCCTCATTCGCTCTGAAATGACACAATGTACATTAATGAGACAAACACATAGAAGCCCCCCAGAGAGATCAACAGCACAATAAATCATACGCCTTATTCACAACAGACCAGTGCAGCGCCAGACGTTAGAGAGGATAACGACTCAAAATCTGCTGCTTTCTCAAATCAGTTCTCATGAGCATGATGCAAAATTAACTTTTTGCCACATGTGAACTGAGAAAATGTTACTAGCTGTAAATTGTGAATTTCAGAACATGTTTTGAACATTTCTTCAGTAGATCATCTGTATCTCCTGGACTTGTTTAACATCAAAACAATGTAAATTGAAAATATTTTGGTTTGTTTTTTAATCAATTATAAATATTATATGAATTTCAAAATGAAACGTCAGTTTATATCTCTAATTCATAGGGTGTTAATGGCAGTGCAGAGTAAGTGTTAGTCTTTAATTAGAGTTGCTAATGCATTTACTTATTTGTTAGATATGTTGCTTATGTACAGTGTGGTGCGACAAGCACTTTGCTTTGTTTAACTGTTGTGTTCATTGTCAAGTTTAGAAATAGGTTTGCTTACATATTAGCACCTTCAAATGAATGTGATGTATCTGTGTGTGTCATTGTGTGTAATTCAGTTCCTCCGGCACAGCACCTTGACAGATGTGATCTCGTGCTAATGTATGCAGCCTAAATGAGTGTCGCTGTCGCTCTGAATGCAACACAGCGCTTCCGGTCTTCATCTCCGTGCTGAAAGCTTCTCTAAGCAGTCTTGTGTCGAGGTCCTTGCGGTATTCCTTTAAAGAGGTTTCTCTGGGAGAAGTGTTTTAGCGGATATGCCAGCTGTTTCAGTGTGTATATAAGTGCAGGATTTGAATAGTTCCGTTTTGTGTTTGGTTTTGTGGATTTGTACTGTCCCAGCTCTGTGATTCACCTGTTCTGTGTGGGTTGTGTCACGTCTGTATGTCTGTGACAGAAAGAGATCCTCGTTATCACTTCGACGACTGGACCCTGGAAATCGTGAACGTTTCTCGGCAAGACGGGGGCGAATACATCATAGAGTGTTCCAACGCTGAGGGGAAGAACCGCACAAAGCTCAAGCTGGATGTACAGTGTGAGGAACTCAAAACTAACTCTGACACCTCAGCCTAACTAGGCCAGATGCAACAAGCTTTGAATATCACGTTTCTCCTCCCTGAAAGCAAAATGTTATAGTAAGCAACAGATAACCATCAGAACATGCAGTGGAGGTTTAAAATAATTTGTTTGAAAACACATTCAAAATGTGATTTAATACCTGCAAATAAGGATTTTTTAAAAATTTACTTTTTTTATTACAATATATATATATATATATATATAAATTTGCATTTATACATAATCAATATTCAACATATTCAATTCATGTGGCATTAGTGGCTATTAGTAAAGATGTTGACTCTGTGTCATCTTTCTTTTTAGTTTTTTTAGTTGGGAGTTTGTCTCCCAACCATCCATGACTGTCAACACTGTCAAGACATTTTGGGTGCCTATATTTGTCATTTTGTAATTAATATCTAAAAAGATTCATATTATTATTATTATTATTATTTTAATTATATTTTTATATTTTTGTTTTTTTATATTTTAAGTGATACAAATTTGTTTATGGTTTTAGTTAAGGCTAATAACCCTGAATTATTTAATAATATTACATATAAATAATACATATATGCAAAATATAATGTAACATTATATATTATATTTTGCATATATGTATTATTTATATGTAATATTATTAAATAATTCAGGGTTATTAGCCTTAACTAAAACCATAAACAAATTTGTATCACTTAAAATATAAAAAAACAAAAATATAAAAATATAATTAAAATAATAATAATAATAATAATATGAATCTTTTTAGATATTAATTACAAAATAGGCACCCAAGGCACCCAAAATGTCTTGACAGTGTTGACAGTCATGGATGGTTGGGAGACAAACTCCCAACTAAAAAAACTAAAAAGAAAGATGACACAGAGTCAACATCTTTACTAATAGCCACTAATGCCACATGAATTGAATATGTTGAATATTGATTATGTATAAATGCAAATTAATCTAATCAGGATGTATTTTCACAGTACTGTGAGAAGCATCTTTTAAGGTTAAAATGCCGTCAGTCGGGATCGTGTGACATTTTTTTTTCCTCAGTACAAATGACCACAAAAGTTCTCTACGCTCTTTTCAATATTTGTACCACATGTTTATTTGCCAATTCAAACCCACACACAGACGTACACACACTTGAAAGTGAAATGAAGAAAAAAGAGAGGGACACAGAGAGAAAAGAAAGAGCACTCCCATTTCCTTAATGATTTAATAATAGCACTCCTTCAAATCTAGGCCTGCATGTTACTGCAAATCCTTCTGCACTAATGGATCTCCACATCCTCATACAATAGCATCTGACAGTGCTAGATATTCATTATGTATGGGCCATTTGAATAGCTTTTACCAATGGTGCTGTTTTCCATGTAGGCCCTCCTCTTTCTGCCCGTTAGGAACAATGCAGAGGAGGATTGTACATGCCAACATGCCAGAGATTACGCTGGTGGTAATGGCCCACTTGGTTGAGGAAATGATCCTCCTGGGGGCTGGGATGGAGATGAGGCAGAGGAGTTTGCTGTACGTGCCTGAGACAACCATTTTAGGTCCACTTTTCTAGGAACTTCAATACAACTTATTTTCCTGTATGTGAGGACAGTCAAAGCAGTGATATTTCATGTTTTAATATTTTTATTTATTTATTTTTTATGTTTTATAGTTATAATGTAGTTTGTCATAGTTTTTATATATTTTTTATTTTTATCTTTTATAATTATAGTTATTGTATTTTTAGTCAAAGCAGTAATATTTCGTTATTAGATTTTTTTTTTTTTTCATATTTTTATTTTTATATTTTTTTATACTTATAGCAAATGCGGCAATTCGATTTTTAAAAATGTTTTTGTTTAATTTTTTATATTTTATAAATATACTTATTCTTAGTCAAAATATTTTTGATTTTATTTGTTTTTGCATATTGTTTGTTTGTGTATTTTAGATGATCGATTAAACTTTTTTTTTTTTTCTCTCTCTGGGATATTCGTTACAAAACTTGCTTCCCTGCATATGAGGACGGTCAAAGCAGGGAAATTTTTATTTTTGTTTATATATATATATATATATATATATATATATATATATATATATATATATATATATATATATATATATATATATATATATATATATATATATATATATATATATATATATATATATATATATATATATATATATATAAATTTGGTTTTATAGTTATAATATAGTTATATATTTATATTATACTACATTTGCTATTTTTATATTTATATCATAGAAGTGATTTTTCATTATTTTAATTTTTTTTAACTTTTGTTATCATTTTATTTTGATATTTTATAAATATAATGTTTATGTATAGCAAATGCGATATTTATTTGATTTTAAAATATTTTGTTTTATTGATATTTTATAAATATGAATGAAATTATTTATAGTCAAAGGATGTTTGATTTTATTTGTTTTTTCATATTTATTTTTTTTTTTTTTTGTCATATTTTATAAGATAGATAGGATAGGTTTATAATATTTATTGTATATAATATTTTATTTGCACTTCTTAATTTGTTGAGGCATTCACATTGAGCTTATGAATGTTTTGTTTTATTTTTTTTTTAAATGTGAGAGGTGATGAATTATTGAAGTATAGGAGTGCATAAAATAAAGAATAAGGAATTTAATTAATAGAAACCACTAAAGACAAGTAACTGTTGGGGGTACAGCTCCATCTGGGTTTATTTACACATGAAAACAAGCAACAAATAAAAAGATGGTGCTGCGGCCGAAATTGAGTTACTGTATGCAGCAAGTTATGGAAAGCACAGCAATAGTTTTAATAGTGAAAACCTTCTGAGAGTCACAGAATTATAGATATTGTGTAAAATTAGACCTATATACAGGTTTTATTGCACACCATGAAATAATTAGCCATACATTTTGTCCACAGCCTCTATACAAACCCAATTCTTGATGTAAGATTTGAACTACATTTGTTGCTATTCCTGTACAAACAGAATGAGTTTATATGCAGTTAACCATGAAACATTCTCGCTAAGTATTCACTTAATTATTGAATATAAGTTGCCTTGTCAAGGATGCGTATATTTCTGTATCTGTCTTTGAAATAGAGGTTTATTAGAGCTCTGGGAGAAAGAACCTGTATTGCTAACCGACATAAATGTAATTAATATTGACAAATTAATAGCAATTCTGTTATTGTATCAACACGGATGATCTGTGTAGGCTTTAGCTGGTCAGTGCAAGCATCTAAAAATATAATTGCTCAGCTATAAAAATAGTTATACATAGTTGAATGAAATCAGCTTCTTAATAGTTTTTTTTATATATCTACTTTGCTTCCGCATATGCACTTCTTCATTAGTGTTCTCTGATCCCTTTTAATAATACAGTTATGCTGACAGAGTGTGACAGATACTTTTTGAGGCGGAGTTAATTCTGTAGCCATTCGAGAGTGTTGTTAATTTGCCTCAGTAAGCATTACCTCTGTTCTAACATGTGCGGCCTGTGCTGCAGCGACGGCGACTTGAAGACTGTTCACAACCAGCCATGGAGGAATACATGAGAGTTTGAAAAAACCGTAATAGGGACGACATTACAATAGACCTTGATTGTTAAGGCTTTTTTTCACTGCCTGTGAATAATTCAAACAGGAAGTGCAGAGGCACACAGTATCGAGACTTAAACAAAGGCAAGTCTGGCATCAACACATCCGGATTTAGAAAATCAAACACCGCAAGTTAACTTACCTCTGCATTCATTTGTGCCGTTGTTGAAATTGGCTGAGGTGGAAATTGAACTGTCATGTTCCTGACAAAAGGGAACGCCACTTCAGCGTGCTACAATTAGCACATGATGCCATTGGCTGAATACCTACAAGATTTTAAGAAAATATCCTCTCCAAATTAAGACTTACATGTAGCACACATTATATGAAGCACAAGATAGCATTCACAGTTGACTGGAATAGAGTGTGATGTTAGTTACGCTAATGACGCTATAATTTGTAATGCTATCTTGATAGTTTCTAAATATTTTATTCATGGTCAAAAGATGGCTGATTTTTTTTTTCCAATGTATTTTTTTATGATAGATACAACTTTTTTGTTATTGTTGTTGCCTGAGGCTTGCTTCCCTGCATGTAAGGATGGTCAAAGCAGTGATGTTTCATTTTTTAATCATATTTTTTATTCCATTTTATCTTTGTTTTATAGTTATAATGTAGTTAAATCATTTTATATTTTGTTTTGGTATTTTATAAATGCAGTGTATATTGTATAGCAAATGCAGAGGTATTTGATAAAATTATTTTGTTTTATTTTGATATATACTATTGATACTGTTACTATTGATTTTATATTTATTCATTAACATATCAGTAGGTTATTAACTAAAACTGAAACTATTAAAATCATTTTCTTAAATTGAAATAAAGCAAAAATATATTATAATTATAAGATGAAAAACATAAATTTAAACAAAAAAAATATATAAATAATAAATAATACGAAAATAAGTTTAGCAAAATGTCCAAAGCTAAATTGAAATGTAATAATAATAATTATAATTATAATAATCACAAAAGCACATAAAATTACGAAATCTAAATTGAAAACTGAAAATGTAAAATAAAGAAAATTATAAATATTAATGCTCTATAATAAATTATTTAATTACTATTAAACACCATTAATTATGCATTATAGAATTATTACTGTTACCTTTTATATTATAATAATAATTGTAATATGTGACCCTGGACCACAAAACCAGTCTTAAGTCACTGGGGAATATTTGTAGCAATAGCCAAAAATATATTGTATGGGTCAAAATGATTGATTTTTCTTTTATGCCAAAAATCATTAGGATATTACAGTTTTTTCCAATTGCTAACATCCCTTTGTCCAATCTGTAGTCACATTTTCAAAACTCTATACACAATTAGCACAACATCCGTCTGTTGTGACCATACCGTTAACACAATGTGTGTTGTTTTCACACAATATTCAGTCAATTAACACGTTTCTAAAATGCTTAAATTTTCTTTTCACACAAGCTTACCCCATACCAAAATCATGGATCTTTCTTAGCTTTTTTTACAAAAGCTTAGACAGCATGTCAGAAATGAAGACCTAATGTTCCAAACTTTAAATATAGTGTAAAGCCTCTTGAAATAAATCTTTATATATAAAATATTGTAACAACTGATAAGCATTTTTAAGTAACATATCACTGAAATATTTAGAAACAGCTGATTCCAGTCTCAGTTTGAGGAATAATCAGGTGTTAATGCTCTTTCCATTACATCAACATAGAGTAAAAAGAGTAAAAAAAAATATATTTTTCTTTTTTTTTTTGATAAAGAGACAAAACAAATAATCAAAGAGAGAGAGAAAAATAATGCCTGGGAGAGGAAGAGGAATAGTTGTAGGAGGGAGAGGAGTAGCTTGATCATACACTGAAAAAAAATGTTTCATTCATCCAATTAAATTTTTTAAAAATCTGTTCATTTTTAAATCTATATTTTTTAACTTGAGCCAATGAAAAATAAGTAACTTGCCCTAACACATGTGGAACCTGTGAAAGCTTATTTCTGCCATGGAATATAAAGGGTAAAGGGTAATTGTGACTTTTTTTATCTGAAAGTTCTGACTTTTATTTCTTGCAATTGTGAATTTATCTCACAATTCTGATCAAGTCTGAATTGCAAGATGTAAACTCGCAATTCCAAGAATAGAAGCCCAAATTGTGAGATAAAAAGGCCACAATTACCATTTTTACTTTTTTATTCTGTGACAGAAACAAGCTTGCATAGTAACCAAAGGCCATGTATGTTGGAATTTTTGTTGATCACTGGCATCAGCTACCATGGGGGTACCATCCGCATCCAACCCCCACCCACTGGAAAGCAATTTAAATCAAGGTTCCAATTGAATTTCTGCATTGGGGACCCTATTTGATGTGGTTTTGACCAGAAAATTAACTATTTGGCTAATTGTGTGATGTAGGTGTGTTGCTGTGTTAAGAGTTTAGAAAAAGTACTTTAAGTATTGATAAACGCTTGTTAGCAATTGAAAAAAAAAACTGTAAGTAAAGATCATGTTCCATGAAGATATTTAGTAAATTTCCTACCGTAAATATATTAAAACTTAATTTTTGATTAGTAATATGCATTGCTAAGAACTTCATTTGGACATCTTTAAAGGCAATTTTCTCAATATTTTGATTTTTTTTTTCGCACTCTCAGATTCCAGATTTTCAAATAGTTGTATCTCGGCCAAATATTGTCCAATCCTAACAAACCATACATCAATGTAAAGCTTATTTATTCAGCTTTCAGATGATGTATAAATCACAATACAAATTGATTGACCCTTATGACTGGTTTTGTGGTCCAGGGTCACATATGCATTATAAAATACAATACAATAAATTCTTATTTTATTTTGATGATTTTTGAATGGTTTCCAGATGCCCCTACTGTTCGTATGAAGTCTGATCCTGTGTATGTGAACGTGGGAGACACCGCTGACTTACTGTGTGTCGCTGATGCCAACCCCATCACCTACAGTATGTTTTCCTGGAAGTGGATGGTGAGCGATGTCTTTGTCATTTCTGTTTTGCTTTCTCTTTTGCTTATTCTCATCCTTTTCCCACTATATTGTCCTTTGTTAGCTCCGCTCACTCACTATATATCTTTTTATCACCTCTATTTATCTCTCGCATCTCTCCTCTTTGTCTCTACCTCCCTCTTTCTCTCTGACTTCTCTTTTCTAAGCATGTGTCACAGCTACTCTGTAACAAAGGTGTTATATTTCACACTTCTTCTAACTATAACAATGTCTCACCTTTATGCTTAATACTTCTGGCCTAAATGGAGAAAAATAGCTTTCATTAAAGCTTCCTTTCCAAAGGCCACATTTCTCAACGTTAGGCGCAATTGGGGCCGTTTCCGACCATTTCAGCATCTATAGGGCCCCATGTTCTTAGTGTCTGCGATATCTCAAGCCACCCTCTTTTTCTGTCTGGTTTTATGTGCGTAAGTGGGAAAATGGATGTTGGTATGAAGTCGTAGCCTTCTTTTGGCTTTTTCTAACTTTTTGTTTGTGAGTTTGTGACTTTTCTATGGGTTCTACAGGTGTGTGTGTGTGTGTGTGTGTCTGTTTTATATATAGGGTGAAGGGGAAGTCGATGATCTGGGAGAGGAGAGTGAAGATGAAGGCACTGGTTTGTTAACTCTTTATGAGGTGACCCGTGACCGGGCAGGTTTTTACAAGTGTACAGCGGACAACGGCATAGCGCCTCCTGGCAGTGTGGAAGGACAGCTCATCGTACGCTGTGAGTTCTGCTAGTCACACTATATAGCATAACTGTGTTAAAAGAGATATTAACCAGAAAGTCCGGACTTTTCTTTTGAGAACAGTGAAAGTGAATGTGGCCTGGAAGTGTCAAGCTTCAAAAAGAACGATAAAAGTATAATCGAAGTAGTCCATATTGACCAGTGGTTATCGTCAACAAAAATTACTGATGAAAATGGGGGTTTTTAATTTGTGTTAAATGATGAAACATGTTTAAATGAATATTTAAACTGTTGGAATACTTTTAATTTTGCATTTTCTCATCAACTAAATTGAATACATTTTAGTTTGAGTGAAACTGATTTAAAAAAATGAATATGAGATGATTAAATACTGACTAAATATTAAGGATATTTTTGTGAAGATTAAAACAAAAACTGTTTAAAAATTAGCACTGTATATCACTTGAATGCTGTAGTACTCTTTTGAAACTATACTGTAGCTTTGTGTGAGGAACAGACTGCAGTTGTATTCAGTAGTAACTTAAAACATAATCTCTTACAAAAATATAACTAAATAAACACTACCGTTCAAAGTATGAGGTTGGTACGTTTTTTTTTTTTTAAAGAAAGTACTACTTTTAATCAGCAAAGACGCATTTAGTTTATCTGAGGTGGCAGTAAAGACATGAATAATGTTACAAATAAATCCATTTCAAATAAATGCTGCTTGTTTGAACTTTTTATTCATCAGAGGGTCCTGAAGAAATGTCATGTTTCCACAAAAATATCAAGCAGCACATTAACATTGATAATAATGAGAAATGTTATATTAGAATGATTTCTGAGAATCGTGTGACACTGAAGACTGGAGTAATGATGCTGAAAATTCAGCTTTGCATCACAGGAATAAATTACATTTTAATATATTAATATTGATTGCATGTTGCAGTTTTCATTGTATTTTTTATTCAAATAAATGCAGCCTTGGTAAACATAAGAGACTTATTTCAGAAAACATTTATTTCACACTTATTTCAAAACAGACACACACACAAAAACAGTACTATACTGTATCCAATAAAAAATGCACTGCTGATAAGGGATCTGGTCTGAGCAAGGGTTTGTCTAATTGTAAATGAGTACTGGTCTTTTAAACACTTGTTCTATATTTCTGCAGTTGCTCCAGAGCTTCAGAAGGGGCCGCAGTGGAGGAAGGTGGCCAGCCGAGGGGACGGCAGCAGCGATGCAAATGTGGTTTGTCAGGCACGAGGCGTTCCTCGTGTCCACTTCACCTGGGCAAAAAAAGGATTCCCTTTAGACCTCGGCAACCCCAGGTGATCCACTCTTGTCATACGTCCATTTGAAAACGTCCTATTTAAAAACAATGTCTTTATACACTTCTAAAAAAGATAACCCACTATAGAGTTATAATTTGAGTATATATGATTATAATTTGCTTAATTTAAGAACAGTATAAATCAATGAGCAGTTACCATATCGATAGCTCTGTAAATACTGTGTGTGTTTTTCAAGAGAGGCGTTGTTCTGCACATGCAGCAGCCATGATCATGTACTTGCGCGTGTGTGTGGAATGACAGTGTTGTGTGTGTGCATGTGTTTTAGAGCTTGTAATGACTGGTGTTTGTTAGGGCTTGCAAGGCTGCATTGTATTATAGATACTCCTCAAACATTGTTTGTATTCTTCTCCACAAGTGTTTTAAACACTTAACAAAGACTCTTGTCATAATTTTACTTCATGGTTAATTTCAGCCTTAGATATACTATCCATCCGTCACGTAATGTATATATTTATATCAATCTGTATCTGTGTAAATTTATATATATATATATATATATATATAGATAGATAGATAGATAGATAGATAGATATATATATATATATATATGCTGCATTTATTTGATCAAAAATACAGTAAAAACAGTAATGTGGTGATATGTTATTACAATTTAATATAACTGATTTTTTTGTTTTTTAAATTTAATTTATTCCTGTGATGCAAAGCTGAATTTTCAGCATCATTACTCCAGTCTTCAGTGTTACATGATCCTTCAGAAATCATTCTGATATGCTGATTTGCTGCTCAGGAAACATTTATTATTATTATCAATGTTGAATTTTTTGCTGCTTAACGGCATTTATTTGAAATAGAAACTTTTGTAACAATATAAATGTCTTTACTGTCATTTTTGCTCAATTTAATGCATCCTTGCTGAATAAAAGTATTAATTGATAATTTTTTTTAAAAGTTAGATCGTTTTTTAGTTAGTATCACAGATTCCACAAAAATATTTAGATAGATAGATAGACAGACAGACAGACAGACAGACAGACTGACGGACAGTCAGATAGATAAATAGATAGATAGATAGATAGATAGATAGAGCTGTTTTTTCATTTGCATACTGAAGTGTGTTCATACTTTTCTTTCTAAATAACTATATAGTTATAGATTTGTTGCTTTTGCTGATTTTCAATTCCTTCAGGAAATGCCAAATGCGAATCTGTTTTGATTGTGTTTCAGTACTGAATATCTCATATACAGTACGTGTTTTTGTGACTTAATTTTACAGGTACGAGGAGAAGACGGAGGTGACAGGGACCGTCCACACCAGCATTCTGACTGTCATAAACGTGAGCGCAGCGCTGGACTACGCCATCTTCACCTGCACCGCCCACAACAGCATGGGAGTGGACTCTCTAGACATCCAGCTCCTCAGCACCAGTACGTACAAACAGGAAGTGAGCATTTCAGTGCCAAGCTGGAGCGGTCAGCTTCACCTGACTGATCAGGTCACCTTCTCTTGACCCCTATTGAAAGGTGAACGTGAATTAGCATAAATGTATGAATAAATAAAATGCAATGAATGAAAACAAACAGACACGGGCGTCTGGGTGTCACATTTCTTATCTCCAACTCATAAGCGCATACAAAGATGATGAGCAGAACCATGAAAGAGATTTCTGCTCGGCAATGAGATTTTGATTTTCTCGACCTGAGCAGCAATTGTGACATTAATTATTCAGTTGTGGTAATCAACACCCGCTCTTCTTCAGGCTGTCCCTTAATTTACAGAGCAATAGGGTCGAACGATCTGTGTTCCTCTCTCTCCCCCCCCCCCATATCTTTGTAATACGAATTAAGTTACTTCTTTACATTGCAAACAAAAATTGTTATCACATTTACAAAGTTATTATACAAACAAAAGTAAAGAAAAAAGTTTTAATTGTAAATAATTCTGATTTCTATTCTGGAGTGAAACATTTAAGGGGGTCTGAATACTTTCCGTACCCACTGTATATATATATATATATTTGTTAGTTGCCAGCTCTGTGCTGTCTTTCTGTTGGTCTCTCTGTTTCTCTAAGGTCTGTGGAATTGACTTGGGCAGGCACGTTTAATGTTTATCATAAATACCATGAAATACAATCCAATATCTGCCTCTTTTTGTCCACACCTCCTTCTCTGTTTTTACTGCCATGAATATTCATAATTAATATGACACAGCGGTAATAAATTGTATGTGCTTCTTATCATCAGTCGACTGGGGAACAGAATGGTGCAGATTTTGCTCCCTGCTTTGCGATTTCGGATTGACCCCTTCACCCTCTTCCAAGAGAGCCAACAAGATAATTAACTAGTTTCATAGTGAAGCGTATTATTGACGCATATTTCTTTCTGAATGTAGAGTAGCCTGTTAATTTGTTTTTTGTTGTCTCTATCTGTCTCTCAATCCCACTTAAATAAACATTCTCCGAGCAATGCAATAAGATTCAGGCAGTAGTTGTATTTTTAATGAGCTTGTGTTCTCTCTGTTTCTCTGTGTGTGTCTCAGACCACCCCGATCCCCCATCAGACCTGAAGCTGCTCCGTGTCGATCATAACTCTGTAACTCTGGAATGGATGCCTGGATTTGACGGTGGTTTGACACAGAACTTCCGTGTCAGGTGAAGTTGTCATAAATGCCGCTGTGAGGTGTCTAGAACATGTGGTGTGTGTTGTGGGTATGTTTTATCTCTCAGTCTCTAGTGTGTCACAACACTGCACACATTTCAGTTGGCTGATGTATAAATGTTTTTTATCTAAGTCCATGGCACCGTAATTCCAATATGATTCCCTGATAGGAAAGGCAGGTTTATTTTTTTATGTCACAGCTCATAGTAATTCAGTCATGTCTGGTCCAGAAGTTTGAGACCATGATGAAAGTGAGAAATTCTAAATCTGACTTAAATAAAATAAAAAAATAAATAATAATAAACAACAAATCTTTAAAAATGCTATTTAAATCTGAAAACATTTTTTTTTTTTTTTTGAATTTGGAAAAATTGAAAACAAAAGTTGTAAAATGTATAAGATATATTTAAGGTTCTGCACTCAAGGTGAACACCTTGAATGCAAAATTCTAAATATTTCTTATTAATTTTAAGATTAATTTTTTAGATCATTCTCAAATCATGCTGATCACATAGTCATCTTTTTTTACACAAACTTGTGGCATTCATGCTGACAAACCAAATATAATAAATTATTAAATTCCTGTTTATATTAAATTAAAATTTGATTTAAATTACTTATATTTAATAATGGTATATTCTGTACAAAAGTATGAGCTGAAAAAAAAAGTACAAAAATAAAAACGGTTTCATTAGTGTTTGGACCCCATTGTATAAAAGTGAAATTTAAAATCATTTAAGAACATAAAATGAATAAGGACAAAATAAATAAAAGTGTGTTATAAAAATGGATTAAAATAAATAATAATAAAAAAATAAAAGGACATAACTTGAAATTAAAGAAGTTTTAAGTATATCGATTTTGAAATGTCTTTACATTTTTTATTCAACTTTTCATTCAGATTTTTACGTGATAATAAATTTGGTAATACAAAAACTTATTAAAGTAGAAAAACAGAAGCATTTCTATTATATCTCAGACTTTTAGACTGAACTGTATGAAAGTCAAGTGTCATGCAAGAACATAACATGACACATAAAATAAGTTTCCTTTAGAAATGCATAAAAATAAGGAAAAAACATTTACAAGTACATAAAGCTTAGCATCTGTTTGATTGACAGGTACCAGTGGGCGGGATCAGCGAGTTTCATGTATGTGGACGTGTTTCCTCCGACAGCTACTGTGTATACAGTCACAGGCCTCAACCCTTCCACTACGTACAACCTTTCAGTCAACGCTATCAATACAATGGGAGAGAGCAGCTATGCAGACAACAACAAAATCCTGACCGTCACCACTGCCGGTACATTCAGCTCAGCCTGTCTAATAAAGCTTACCGACACATACTGTAAACTAAATCATTCGTCATTTGGGTTTCAACCATGGTGGTTTTTCTTGTAGGTTTAGGTACCAGCTTTACTTTCCACTGATTTGATGAGCCATTCATCAATCCGACCAATCACATCTCATTTGTAAGGCAAAGATCACAGCTGAGCCTCATGTAAGCCGAATGGCTGAACGTCTACCCCAATCAGTGCCACAGTGTGTTTTCTGAATGCATATTTCAGTCTGTATTTTGCCGGGTTTGCGAGCGAGAGGGAGAAAAATCGAGCGATAGAGGGAGAGAGACAGAAAACAAAACCGTGTGATGTATGATAAATGATGATAAGCTACATTCCCTCGGCAAACATAATGAATTCTGCAATTGTAATGTCATAGCATTTGATTTGCAAAACAAATTAGTCATGAGCACAGGCAGCTGACGGAAGTACGGAAAACACAACTTAGCTCTGCCACAGAGTTCATTGATAGCAGAACTAACAAACCTTACTTATTTAACAATTATCAGGGATTTGAAGCTAAATTCTGCCATATTTTGCTCATTTTGGAGATATTTTAAAGAATGTTCAAGCTGCTCTTTTCCAGACAAAAAACCCATGCAGTGATCAGTGGCTGTCAACGTCCAAAAAAAAGCAACATAGAGGTCATACAACATCAAAATTCATCAAAATTAATGGATAAAAGATGTAATTGCCATGGTACATGAGAACCATGTTTGCCATCATTTACGCTACCATTCAAAAATTTGGTGTCGGAAAGATTATTATTATTATTTTTATTTTTTAAAATTTAAATTTTTGCATAATTTTTTAAGTCTTCAGTCCTGATTTACTGTAATTGCATGGAAATTTCAAAAGCATTTTTGTCTGAACTTTCCCTTTAAGGATGAATAACAATAAGTAGAACAGTTCAGTTTGTACAGTCCTCACTAAAACTCCAATAAAACCATAAATCCTCACTTCCGTTTAAACACATACGGCATGTATGGTTTTGCTTGAGCAGCACTCGACAATAACTAGACTATGAAAAAGCGTGAGGCAATTTTGTAGGTACATGCTCTGCTTTCTGCAGTCACCTTATTTCAACTCACTTCAGTCGAGTAGAAGCCATATGTAATTTAATGCAAATGAAAACAGGGACGTGAAAGTACAGTCCATTCAAGTGCCTCGTTTTCGTTTGTGTCAAATTAAATATGCCATTTACTCTGACTAAAGTCTTTACACATCACAATGGGGCTTTTCAGGCTAGACTAAGTCCATAATGTTTGATTTTACACACTGGTACCTCTGTGCTTTCAGTGGAGTTCATTATTTTCTTTTCTACTCTGTATTTGCTGTCCACTCTAACGAATATACATAGTACTAGTGTTGATGCAAAGTGTTTTTAAATGCATAGAAAAATGCATAAATCAATTTCGGTTTTGGAATTTCTAATCTTAGACTCACGGTCAGAGCAGAACAAAGTGACTGCACTCTGTAACCTCTGCATTGAGTGATTTACCTTGTTTTTCTCTCTCTCTCTTTCTCTCAGATGCAGAGAAAGCAGATGACGGGGTCTCCCCAGCAGACCAGGACTCAGCTCTTGCAGGTGCTGCATTTCTTCCTCCAGCTTACTGCAGCTGTTATTTATCAAATGTAGAAAAGGCCTGACACCCCAGAATTCAGATCAATTTCTCAGCTCATACTTCAGTTTCTGTGGCCTTTACCAGCCTTTTTCATGTGCTTTCATAAATCCTTGGGGCCCATGGTTTGCCCCGCTGCGGTTTGGTGCAGTTTTGCTCAGGCTATAATCCTGAACTCTTTGGTGCTGTTTAATGGGACACCGTGGCAGTCATTGACCCTTGAGTCGGGATACAAAATAAACTGACATTAGCTTGCGGCAAATTCGAGGACCGTCAGAAACTGCTTTGCATTTTGATTGGGTTTGCGTAGAAAAGATTCATTAGGGTTTTCAATTTCTTTGGATAGTTCCTATGTCATCAGTTTGATTTGGGAATGATACACTGTGTGAGGCATTTTTTTTTTCTGGGAGAGATTCATCAATATCTTTCGTCTGTGTGAATAAACTAGTTCTTGTGGCATTGGAGGTATTTTCACGCGGCGAGGCATGACTCGAGCGTGTCAAATCTGTACCAATCACACGCTCTCTTCTATAAAACTGTGACATATAGTATAGCAAATCCAACAAGACAGTGATGCATAGTTGTGCAAATTCAACCCAAGACATATTTCAGCATCATGAACGTATGTATATATGTGTGAATTTCAGCACAACTGCCATTAATATATCTTGTGGCCTAAAAGTATTTGAACTCTTAAGTCAAGGTATTTTCACGCGGCGAGGCATGACTCGAGCGTGTCAAATCTGTACCAATCACACGCTCTCTTCTATAAAACTGTGACATATAGTATAGCAAATCCAACAAGACAGTGATGCATAGTTGTGCAAATTCAACCCAAGACATATTTCAGCATCATGAACGTATGTATATATGTGTGAATTTCAGCACAACTGCCATTAATATATCTTGTGGCCTAAAAGTATTTGAACTCTTAAGTCATGCCTTAAAATGTCAGAATTTCATTGCATTGGATGACAAAATATCTACCCAAGTAGCAAACAAATGATTCTAGACCTTTTCTCTAACTAACTCAAACTAACAGACTTTTGAGCTGTTTTTGAAAGTAGCTTTAAGCAGCTGGTGTCAGGCTGATTTTATATGGATGTTTTAAGTTTCTTTATAGGACTTTTCCACTAAAGCACTATTCAGTTGGTATTACTTTAAAAATTACGATTAAAAATAAATAGAAATTACAATTAATTACAATAAATTTAGTTCTGGTTTATTATTATTATTATTATTATTATTATGTATAATAATAATAATAATAATAATAATAATAATAAATAATATAAAACAATGCAATGTTTAATAATAATGTTAATGTATTCAAAAATAATACAAATGTTTAATTATTATTCTTATTAAAATACATTTTTATTAAATAAATTAAAATTAATATTACTGGCTTTAGTTACACTATTCAATGTTAGAAAAATGAGAAGTATTGTGGAAAAACGTTTTTAATAATAATAATAATAATAATAAAAGTTTAATAATTA